GCCTGCCGATGCAGGGGACACGGGTTCGTGCTCCGGTCCGGGAAGATCCCACATGCCGCGGAGCGGCTGGGCCCGTGAGCCATGGCCGCTGAGCCTGCGCGTCCGGAGCCTGTGCTCCGCAACGGGAGAGGCCACAACAGTGAGAGGCCCGCGTACCACAAAAAAAAAAAAAAAAAGGATACTTAACATTACTAATCATCAGGGAAATGCAAATCAAAACCACAATGAAACATCACCTCACACCTTTCAGAATGGCTATTATCAAAAAGAGAACAAATAACAAGTGTTGGTGAGGATGTGGTAGAAAGGGAACCCTAATGCACTTTTGGTGGGAATGTAAATTGGTATAGCTGGTGTGGAAAACAATATGGAGGGTCCTCAAAAACTTAAATATAGAACTACCATATGATTCAGCAATTCCACTCCTGAGTATTTATCTGAAGAAAATGAAAACACTAATTCAAAAAGGTATATGCACTGCAATGTTCATTGCAGCATTATTTACAATAGCCAAGGTATGGAAGCAACCTAAGAGTTCATTGATAGATGAATGGATAAAGAAGATGTGGAATATTATACACAATGGAATATTAGCCATAAAAAGAATGAAATCTTGCCATATGCAACAGCATGCATGGGCTTACAGGGTATTATGCTAAGTGAAATAAGTTAGAGAAAGTCAAATACTGAACATTTTCACTTATATGTGGGACCTAAAAAAGAAAAAAGTATAATAAAACAGAAAAAAACAGAAACAGACTCACAGATACAGAGAACAAACTTGTGGCTGCCAGAAGGGAGGAGCGTGCAGGGATGGGCAAAATAGGTGAAGGGGATTAAGAGGTACAAACTACCACTTAAAAAATAAAAGTCACAGGGATAAATGTCCAGCACAAGTAGTATGGTCAATAATATTGTAATAACTTTGTATGGTGTATAATCTATAAAAATATTGAGTCACTATGCTGTACACCTGAAATTAATATGATATTGTAATATTTTTTAAAAAGAAAATAAATAAATGCTTGTATTACAAACAAAAAGAAAAAAGTGTTGATATCTCCAACTATAATTGTGGATTTCTTTCATTTCTACCAATTTTTGCTTCATGTATTTTGAAGCTCTGTTATTAACTGCATAAATATTTAGGTTTCTTATATCCTCTTGATGAATCGATGCATTTATCATTACAAAATATACCTCTTTATTCTTGATAATATCCCTTGTTTTGAAGTCTATTTTGTCTGTTATTAATATAGCCACTCTAGCTTTCTTTTGATCAGTGTTTGTTTGGTATATCTTTTTCCATCCTTTAACTTTTAAAAACATTTTTTTTCTTTTCCTACTTTTGTTTTCTCCCAGTTTTATTGAGATATAATTGACATACAGCACTGTGTAAATTTAAAGTGTATAGCATAATGATTTGACTTACATATGTCATGAAATGATTATCACAGTAAGTTTAGTAGACATCCATAATCTCATACAAAATTACAGAATACAAAAATACACATACGAAATTAAAGAAATAGAAAAAAATATTTTTCCTTGCAATGAGGATGCTTAGGATTTACCTTCTTAACAACTTTCACGTGTAACATACAGCAGTGTTAATTATATTTATCATGTTGTACCTTACATACCTAGTACTTATTTTTATTATAACTGGAAATTTGCACCTTTTGACTGTCTTCATCCAATTCCCTCTCCCCCCACCCCCCACATCTGGTAACCACAAATCTGATCTTTCTTCTATGAGTTTGTTTGTTTTTGGAGTATAACTGACCTACAACATTATGTTATACAACATAGTGATGTGATATTTCTATACATTTCAAAATGATCACCATGGTAAGTCTAGTTTTGATCTGTCACCATACAAGGATATTACAAAATTATTTTCTATATTCTCCACAAAGTACATTTCATACCCATGACATTTATTTTGCAACTGGAAGTTTGTACTTCTTAATCTCCCTCATCTATTTCTTTCCTCTCCCCACCTCCCTCCCCTCTGGCAACCTCCTATTTGTTCTCTGTATCTATATCTCTGTTTCATTGTTTGTTCACTTGTTTTATTTTTTAGATTCCACATATAAATGAAATCATGAAGTAATTTTCTTTCTCTGCCTTTTTTCACTTAGCAAAATACCCTCTGTGTCCATCCTGTTGTCACAAATGGCAAGATTTCATTCATTTTTTTAACTTTTAAAGTACCAATGTCTTTATATTTAAAGTGAGCTTCTTGTGGACAGCATATAGTTGGATCTTGCTTTTTATCCAATCTGACAATTTCTGCTTTATGGTGTGTTTATGGCCCCGTCCTCCATCTTCAAAGTCAGGGAGAAAGAGAGAAAAGCAAGAGTCAAGTCTGTTACTCCTCATAAGGTTGTTCCATTTCAGTAGGATCTCTTCTCTGGACCAAGGTGAGTTCAAGGGATAGTAATTAGGCATAAAGCATAGACACTGTGGGACCCAGAAGAATTTTTGAAGAACTGCTTTCCTAAAGTCTTGTAGTGGGGAGAGCCCAAGTAAGTTATAAAGTACCAACTGGAGAGGGGAAAGAGAGAGCAATTGGGCTGTTATGATATAGCTCAGATGTGGCTGGTTTAAGAAAGAAAAAATGGGGGTTGGGGGTGGGAGTAGATGTAAGGAGGCAGCACAGTTCAAAGGAGAGTCCATAGGTTTGAGTCAAAACATCCTGAACATAAGTCCAGGCTCTATACTTCTTGGTCATAAGACTGAGTAGTACAATTAATGTCTTGGTTTATAAATATGTGAAATGGAGGCAATATCTACCCTTTGTGATGGTTTGTGTAAGTGTTTTCTAGCCAAAAAAACAAAAAACAAAAAACCTCCAAATAATGGTTCCATTTTAGGGAGAACACATTAAATGTCAACTCTGAACCTTCCTGACTGGGGATGGGGGAGGAAGGGTTGCTGGGGGTGGTACAAGGGATTTTGGCCTTTATGCTATATAATCCAAACTTTTGATGTTTAAGAAGATGTCAGTATATAAATGTAGTGGGGATCAGGCTACTCTTGATATCAGGGTACAAACTCCTTCCAGAATCTGATAAAAGCCATGGACTCTTTCCAGAAAATGGCCCCCACAAAAATCTAGGGAGGTTTTTTTTAATTGACATAGAGTTGAGTTAGAACATATTAGTTCAGGTGTACAACATAGGGATTCAATATTTTTTATAGATACTCCAGTTAAAGTTATTACAAAATAATGCTATATTTCCCTGTGCTGTAAAGTATATCTCTGCTGCTTATTTATTTTATACATAGTACTTTGTATCTCTTAATCTCATACTGGTACCCCCTACTGGTAAGGGAAAGAGTCAATAGACCCTTTGAACTCTCCTCATGGATCCCAATTTTAAGAATCCTGATTTATACCAGTAAATAAGGAGAATAAAAATCTAGTTTACCTGTATAAAAATAATTCAACTATGGTTAGACAAATAACTTATATTTCCATACCATGTGGTACAGTACCTATTTTGTCTATGTCAGATTGACTTTGCTATAAGTTTGATTTGGTATAAAACTAAACTGTTGGTCCTGGCTCCACCTTTATCATTTGCTGTTCATGTGGCACAGTGTTGCCTATGCACAACTTTAAAAGAAAAAATTAGAGTGGCTTTTCTCTTAAAAGCTAATATTCTGCCTCCATGGTTTCACCTGTCGAAATAATTATTTCCCAGATTGGCAACTGTGTGCTCTTATAGAATAAATTGGTAGGTGAGAGGTCGTGAAGCAGAGTGGAAGGTGTTCAGGCTTCAAAAGACAGACCTGGCCTGGAATCTCAGCTCCTTCACCCCTTACTAGAGTTCAGCCTTCAAGCTCTGGCCTTCAATAACTTCATTGATTAAATGAGAATAACAAATACCTACTTAAGGGGTTTCTAGGAGGATTGGGGACAATACAAACAAAGCACCCGGGCTGTATCAGATCTTAAATAAATAGGGCTATTGTTACGGTGAGTCCTTAGTGTTACACAACAGCACCTTTGTTGTTTAGGGCTCCCAATGCCATATAATGAAACTGGCATGAGATTCTTGAGTTCAGGGGACAATTGCCTACTCTGTTGAGGAAGCAGCAAATGTCAAAGGCTGAAAATTGTTGACATCCCCAGGGTGTCAGGGAGCTAGACTGAAGGTTATGGTGTGTCCTGCCTTTGGCAGTCCAGTGAAGCACGTCTTCATAATGGCATTTTGTTGACTTTTCCCAAGGCCAGTGAGGTATCTAACTAAGGTGGCTTAAAAATCCGGAAATAACACACGCAGGGGAAAACCCAGTGCAATAATGACATCTTTTCCTTCCTTACTGTTAGCTTCCTTGTTTCTTCTTTCTCTGGTTCAGTGAATGCCAACACAAGGATTAATAAATCTTGACACTTTTTTGCCTTCTTCCAAGAATATATTTTCATGTCTGGGTAACCGTCATCACCTCCCCTGACTCCTTTGGGAAGAATGGGTGCATTCTGTGAGTCACCTCCACCGATTAGGAGGCCAAAGTTTCCCAGGATTCAGTGGAAGGCTGTGTCGTGTGGTGGAAAAAGTAGTAGTTGAGAACTCAGGACGCTTGGGTTTGGTGTCCATCACCATTTCTGTCTGAATCTGTATAAAAGCGGCCTCCAGCGCTGCTTTAGTTTCCTCATTTGTAAAGTGCATCAAGTCTGGCCTTGGGTATGAGCGAGCTTCGTTCCCACTCAGGATCAGCGGCAACCCCGCACGAGCCCCAGCCGAAGCGTGCGCTGGCACCAACTGGCCTGCGCCTGCAACGGGCGGGGCTCTGCCGCGCCGCGTAGGGAACCGGGTTCCCGCCTCCCTAACCCAGCGTTTCCGTTGCCAGGGGAACTGGGGCGGCGCGCTTTCCGGCGCAGTCGCGCGCAGCGCAGCTGTCATGGCGGAGACCGTCTGGAGCACTGACACCGGAGAGGCCGTGTATCGCTCTTGGGACCCCGTGCGCAACCTCCGCCTCCGGTAGTCGCATCACCCCAGAGCCCCGTGCTTTTATGCTGTCAGATAATTAGAGCCTGAACTTCGCTTCTTGTTTGCTGGGACCCTCACTTGGGTTTGCAGTCCTGACCGCGGTCACCTCGTCTCCCCGCGTCTCCCTCGCTACCCGGCACCCTCTTCACTCACAACTTCCAGACCCACCCTTTCAGGACCCTGCCCCTCCCAAGTTTCTCGAGGCCCTGTGTCTCCAGTACACTCTCCCATCGTCTTCTCCTTAGGTCCCCGTGCCCCACTCACATCCCCTCTGTCGCCTGCACCCCGCCACATTCTTGGTAGCCGTACCCTCTTCTGAGTTTTGCTTCTCCATCTTTGCTCTGCGCTCATCTCCTGGTTGAGTGTTTTGTAACGAGAATTTTGGGCTTCTCTTTTCCTGGCAGAGTCCACCTGCAAAGAATTACATCAAGCAGCTACCTCCATTGCCAGCCTGCTGCCCAGCCTGGGAAGGACCTCATAGACTTGGCCACTTTTAGGCCTCACCCATCCACCAGTGGGTGAATGGTGGTGATGTGGCCGCGTGGGGATCTGGGGAAGGGCCTAGGGTGGAGGTTACCTCTTAAGACAGAGTAGACCCAGGTCTATAGTCTGAGAAAAGGTATAGAGAGGATGGGTTTATTGTCCAAGGTCACAGGGCTGGTAAATGTTGAAGCCAGGATTTGATCCCAGGCAATTTTAACTACTACATTACGTTGTGTAAAATTGAATAAGGCTTGATTCCTGCCGTCAAGATGCTGATCCGAATTGTGGTCAAATGTAGGGAAATAGCAAATACCATACTTTAGATACGTTATAAATTTGCCTGTCAACCTAAATACCATTTGTGGCATTTTTTTCCTAAGAGAAAATATCACTCCAAGCTTGAAACATACAACTAAACACTTTTTAAAACAGCTTAAAAATTGGGGTCTGCTTGGAAAATGTACATATTAACACCGTCTGTGTTCTAGCAGTTTTCCTTATCTGGGAAGCCAGAAAAGTGAGGAAGAGAGGACAGTGTGTTTGCGTTAGGTCACTGGTCTCTCTGCTTTTGTTGTTTCTGTTCAAAAATATTCCTGGGCAAGAGTGTGAGCTGGCAGGTTGTGAAGCATGTGTCTTTGGAAAAGGCACACTCAGCTAGGAGTGTGTGTATTAGATTTGGTTCTTTAAAAAAAAAAAAATCAGTTGTATGTCTTTCCTTTTCTCTCCTGATACTTGGTCTCTTAAGGTTATAGTGTTAGTGATTCTAGATATACGGCTTCAGGAATAGTGAAGATAAAAATGCCACAGTTCCTGTCTAGCAAATGTAGGCAGTTGGGATTGAGGAAGAGCTATTTAGCCTGTATCTAATAAATGTCAGCTCTTGACACTGAATTAGATCAAATAATTCCTGGAAGGCATGACTTCCTTTTTTTCAAATCAGAGTAGTGATTAAGACTTCTTGGGTCCTAATCTTGGCTTCTACACATATCCACAGCCTCTATAGAGTAAGTCTAGAGTGAGTGCTTCATAGATCAGTGAACTCCAACTGATTTTGTGGCAAATATAAGAGCAGGGACTTTGGTTATAACCAACCACAGAGTGAGAAGTGGTGCTAGTTTGGCTCAAACATTTGACTCACTCTGTTGTCTTTGGAGGTGGACACCGCCCGGAGGTAGATGAAGAGGAGGAGGTCGTGATTGGGTGGCAAGAGAAGCTCTTCAGCCAGGTGAGCCAGTGTCCCTTGTCTGCTCAGTCTGCCTACCCCTGGTCCACCTCCACCTGACTAGTCACAGGAAAGGATTCTTGATACATATGGCTAAACTGATTTGCAGAAAGCTTGTAACAGTTTATACTTTCCACTGTTGTGCTTATGGGGTCAATGGAATATAGTGCCTGCCACTACCCAGTTTTATAATCCTGGGTAAGACACTTTTCATCTCTGGGCCACATACCAAAACAGCAGAATTACTGTTTTGGTATGTCAATTCTGTAATAGCAGAATTGAATTAGACTATCACTGTGGTTCCTTTTAGCTCTAACATTCGTTGGCTCTCCTGTCCTCCATTAGTTTAGATAAACGACAGTTGGCTATGAGAACATGTCAAGTTGCATCAGCTCTATAGAACTAATTTGACCAAACTGTTACAGGAGCAAAATTTGACATATTCTCAGTAGAACTTTGTTTCTTTGTGACCTCAGTTCGAAGTAGATCTGTACCAAAATGAAGCAGCCTGTCAGAGCCCTTTGGATCATCAGTACCGCCAAGAGATTCTGAAGCTGGAGGATATGGATGGCAGGAAGAACCGACGAATCTTTACCTACACTGACTCTGATAGATACACCAATTTGGAGGAGGTAGCATTCTTCCCCAAGCACCGTAGCTCCCTTCACCTTTGTCTGCCCTAGCTTTCCGGCCTCTCTGTATGTTAACTCGGAAGCCTGTTAAGGGGATACAGACCTTCTGGCAGCCAAGCTGGAGTAGGTGGGCACAGTCTGCGGGTGGTGAGGCTGCTGCTCCCGGCTCCATCTGCTGGAGGGCCTGGGGGAGCCGGCAGTGTCTCTAATCACAGGCTTGCAGCCTACAGACTGGGAGAAGCAACCACTGGGTTTGGCTTCCTCTGTGCATCATGAGATCAGACAGGTGGATGGAGTCTAGAGCCATTTAGATAAAATTCATCACGGATTCAGCCGAAACTGAATATATGGGTTTGAAGAAGGATTCAGTACTGCGTGGGGAATGGCTTATATCCTCAGTTTGCCTATGACAGCTATACCCTCATGGACTTGTTTTACATTTTCTTCTGGATATTCTAACCATCACTAACCATCACTCTCCTGAGGGAGGGGAGTGCCTATATTATCTGATTTTTGTCTGTGACCTTGTAGATCTCTGCAAGGAGCCAGGTGTTAAGTGAATGTTTTTGAAAGATTGATGCTTATATCAGGAAAGCTGTGGGTTGGTAGCATATAAAATTTGGGTTGTCTGTTTTGGTAAACAAAAGAAAATTACAGATAGTGTTCAGTTACCCATGGGAGGGTTTTCCACAGGATACCAGGCAGACTCACCAAACCTTTTGTTGGTATGTGTTTAGAGATTGCAGGCTCATTTTAAGATGAGCATAAATAAACTCATTTCTCAAGGATAATGTGCTGCTGTAACCTTTGGGCAAACCAAGGCTTGGTTGGGCTCTTCCTTGGGCTGTTTGTGCCACTGTGCCCGCCGTCAGTGTGATTGTGAGGTGGCCGTGCGCTGAGGTTCAGGTTCTGTGTGAAGTTTCAGAAGGAAGACTTCCCTCCAGGTCCTTGGTCCCACACGGCCCTGAGCAGGCTTACACTGGGCTGCTCTGTTTTCCCAGCACTGTCAGAAAATGACCACCGCAGCCAGCGAAATGCCGTCATTCTTGGTCGAGCGAATGGCAAATGTCAGGCGGCGACGGCAGGACAGGCGAGGGATGTGAGTGCAAGTGTGTACAGGGCCGTGGCGGCCTCTGTGGTCCGTCCATGCCTGTGTTCCCCGTATGCCCACCAACTCGAGCGTCCCATCCTGCAGCGGGCCTCCACCTTCGTGTGCTCCCCAGAGCTACTCCTTCAGGCTGTTCGGGGGGTGCCAGGGAAGTGACCCTTCCTGTGGTGTCTCCCAGGGAGGGTGGCATCCTTAAGTCACGAATCGTCACCTGGGAACCCTCAGAAGAGTTCATCCGGAACAGCCATGTCATCAACACCCCTCTTCAGACAATGTACATCATGGCAGACCTGGGTCCCTATGGAAAGTGAGTGAAGCTTCTTACTGCCCAGCTCAGACCTTCATTCTCTTCTCCTGTCACTAACCATCACTCTCCTGTTATAGTCATCCCAGGTATATGGGAGGGAGGGATGTTTTCCTTCTACTTTTTCTTTGGAAGAGAGTATTTTACCGTGACAATTCTCACTCCAGCCTCTGTCCTCTCCCCTGATATGTCCTGAACACCTCTTCCTCTTTCCCTGGAGGTGGGGCAGCAGTCTTGAACCCTGGTGTTAATTCCCTGGTTTCTAGGCTTGGCTATAAGAAGTATGAACATGTCCTCTGTACTCTGAAGGTGGACAGTAATGGTGTGATCACAGTAAAACCTGACTTCACTGGCTCCAGAGGACCCTACAGGTGAGAAGAGGAAGAAAGGGATGGCGGAGACTGGCATTGCTTTCCTTGGCTTCACTTCTTGCCCCAAGTTGAGGAGATTCTCTGAAAGCCCTTCATGTGTTCTAACTTTTAAATTCCGAGCCAGTGGTTCATATTGTGTTCCAGGTCATAGACCCTTAGGACACTGGGCAACCTTTTCTCAGAAAATATGCACCTACCCGGATTTGAAAGTGATGCCTTCATCAGTGTCGTCAAGTGAAAATAATTCTCTGTGCTGCTGCGTGTAGGGACTAATCAAAACTGAGAGAGATGAACTGGCCAGGTCTTCTCCTCTGGCCTGACTGTTCCTCATCTTACGTCTTAGAATAACAGAACTGTAAATCGGCTCCTCCCTGGGCTGGGTCTGGAGGGCCCCACCTCCTGTTTGCTGAGTTAGTCCCTTTGTGGCTTTGACCTTACAGAATCGAGACAGACGGGGAGAAGCAGGAGCTGTGGAAGTATACGATTGACAGCGTGTCCTCCCTTGCACAGCCTGAGGAGGAAGAGCGGGAGCAGCGTGCGCTCAGGGACGTAAGTGCTGGTTCAGTCTGGGAACCAGAGAGCTGGGAGCCGAGGCCGCGGCCGAGGTTGGGTCAGCAGCTGCAAGGCCTTGCTCTTAGAGGCCTTGCCTGACTTGGGAAGCGCTGCTGACATGTCAGATGTAAGGTTTCGATCCTATTATAAGATCATCACAATAATGACCATTTATTTGAGCATTTGCCATGCTCTGTGCTAGGCCCTTCACATACTTTATTTCATTTAGACTGTACCACAAGCCTTTAGGTGAATATTTTTATTATTACCACTTTATAAATGAGGAAATGGAGATCAAGAAGCTAAGCAGTCTGCCCGAGGTCACGTAAGTGCGAGAGCCAGGTTGGTCCCAGACCGGTGGACTCCAGAGCCTCTGTGCTTCACTCTCAGATGTCAGTGTCTGGGATGCTTAGGCCCAGCTTTCTGTGGCACGTCCCACTCCTGCTGCTTTTCTCCCTCCCATGCAGATCTGGACCCTGGTCTGGCTGGGGTCACACCTTGAGTTTCAGTGTGGTTTGTTTCCTCAGCTCTATGGCCGGCACAAGGAGTATCTCAACAGCCTCGTGGGCACTGACTTTGAGACGGTGAGTAGCTGGGTTTCCTGCAGCTCCGCCAGCTGGGTTTCTGTAGCCAGAGCGTTCTGACTGCGGCTCAGTGACAGCTCTCTCTTCAGGGTCCCAAAGACATACTCCTCAGTGGAAAAAAGTAAAAAACAACATTTAGAGTATAGTCCTTGTTATGTTTTAGAAGCATTGCATATTGATATAGAACTGTTAATGCATAGGAAAAGGTCTCAAAGGGCACACACCCTATGGGTGGCTTTCTCTGGGGAGGGGGTGGGATTGGGAAATGGTAGATGGCTATTGGGTGGTGAGAGGGACATGTCAGGAATGTTTACTTTTTATTCTCTAAACTTAGGTGGTTTTGAATTTTTATCAGTGGGAGTGCATTCATGTATTACTTTGTAATTCATTTTATAAATAAATATAAAGATGAAAAGTGTCTTCCTTGCTCTTCATGTAGATATTTTTCCTAATGCCCCATAGAGAGGGAGGGGTGTCATTTCTGTTTGTCAAATAGTTTGGCTCTTAAAACAAAACAACAGAGTTTAAGTCCGTAATCCTGTGGTCCTATTCTTTGTCTTCTCTTATTCCAGGAGTTCCATTTCTAGATCTGGAAACAAGGAGAGAGTTACCTGGTGGTCTCCCTCTCTCTCTCTAAAAAATTAACTTTCACTATTTTTGTGTTGTATTAGCAACAGATTTTCGGTGTTAAAAAGTGAGATAAGATAGATACACAAATAATTTAACAAGGAAACTTCCTGGTCTCTTGACCTCCCTCTAGAGGGAGCCGGGGTCTCTAGCCTTTCGCCATACGGTGGCAGGCAGCTGTGTTTGCTTCTCTTGGCCGTTCTTGTAAATACCCCACACTTTGTTGCCTTCCCCACCATGTAAATTAGGTGCTTTTTCCATTACATTACTTTAGAAATGAAGGAAACAGATTTATGGAGAAGTGGCAGGTGGGGAGGAAGCGGGATTAGTCACACAGCTGGATCTGGCGTCCAGCGTCAGGCCCTCTGGGGATTTACGGGCAGGCTGGAGGAGAGGTGTCGCTTCCCTCAGACCTCCTGATCTGTCCCCACTTCTCTCTACCTCAGACGGTACCAGGTGCCCTCCGGCTCTTTGTAAATGGAGAAGTAGGTAAGTGTCTCACCAGACAGAAGCCCCTTGATGCTTGCAAGTGTCAGATTTAGCTGTGGAGTAATCCTCCCCGCCCCAGTAGAGCCCTTGGGTTGTCCGCAGCACTCGGGAGACTCAGGCATGTGTCTTTCCTGGAAGCACAGGGAGTTCCTGGCCCTTGAGGGACTCGCTTCCACACGTGGGTAGGCCCTTTAGGACTGGGGCGGCTGTTAAGGGTGATAGGAGGATAACCTGAAACAGTTTCCTGTTTTCTTAGTTTCAGCCCAAGGCTATGAGTTTGACAATCTTTACGTCCACTTCTTCGTGGAATTGCCAACTACTAGTAAGTAATATTCATAAGTCTCTCTTTTTACCCATTCTGACAGTTTTCCGGAGGCATTCGGTCAGACTTCCTTCCCCACTCCTCCACTGAAATTGTTACTGTTCCTTTCAAGGTCATAGATCACTTCCAAGATGTGAAACCCTGTGGTGACATCTCTGCCTTCACCCTACTTGGCCTCTCAGCAGCATTCACCACAGCTCACTTTCCTCGCTGAGACTGTCCTCTTGGCTTCTGGCTCTGTGCTCCTCTCGTCTCTCTCATTGGGGGCTCAGCGGCCTTCTTGGCTGTTCCCTCATCTTCTGTTGACCTAAAACTATTAGAGTATCCAAGGCTGGGCCTGGCCTTCTGTTACTCTCTCTCCACGGTCTTTCTAGGTGGCCTCATACATCCTGTGGCTTCAGTACTGTTTGTATGTCTCAGACTCCCGGATGTCCCTCTCTAGCCTTAGCCTCTCCCCTGAACTCCAGAGTCATGTCCACTTACCTCTTGTCGTTCCTGTTTAACATGACCAAAAGCTTCTTGATTCCCCCTCTTGCCTCACACCTGCCCTCATGGTCTTGCCCATCTTAGCAGAATGGCAATGTCATCTACTTAGTTTCTGATACCAGAAACCTAAGAGACATCCTTGACTCCTCACTTTCTCTAGCTCCCTACCGCCGCCATTCATTCTATCAGCAGTTCTTGGCAGTTCTGTCTCCAGAAGATGTCTTGAATCCTCTGTTCTCTCGAGGACCCTGGGCCAAGCCACCGTCATCTCTTGCTTAGGCCGAAGCATTAGGTTTCTAATTTATCCTCTCACTTCCTGTCTTGCTCCCTCTTACATTTCGTTTGCCACGTGCACCACAGCCTAACTGAGCCTTTAAAATGTAAACCAGTTGTGTCTCTTTTGAACTTAAAGCCCCAACAGCTTCCCTTCCCACTTAGAGCCAAATCCAGACTCCATTCTCTGAACGAGCTGGCCCCTGCCTATCCCTCCCTTACAGCATTGCAGTTGTAATTTCTGTTCTTGAGCAGGCCAAGTTCATTCCCACCTGAGGGCCTTTTCAGGGCCATTTCTTGTCTGAAAGCTTTTGTGTCCAATCTTTGCACGACTGGTTCTGCTTTAGTTTAGGTTTCAGCCTAAGTGTCGCCTCTGAGTGGTGTTCCCTCACCACCCCGTCTAAATGAGCCTCAAGCCACTCAGTCCCTTCACCCTGTTTTATTTTTACTTTAGCATTTGTTACTACTTGATAGTCTATTTGTTGGTTGGTTTGTTGTCTGTTCCCCCCTCCCACCCCCAACTGGAATGGTAGCCCCATGAGAGACAGGAAGCTTTTTTATCTGGTCACCAAGATGTCCCCAGTGATCGGTCATAGCACATAGCAGACACACAGTGAACGTGAAATGAACGAGTGAGTGAATGGAGACAGGAACTTTGTCTTTTTCTCAACTGCTTGCCTTCCTCCCCGTTGGCTTACTATATGTGGTCTTTGGTTTTCAGGCTGGTCAAGCCCAGCATTCCAGCAGCTCTCAGGAATAACACAGACCTGTGCCACCAAGTCCCTGGGAACGGTAGGGCAGCGAGAGGGGGCACCTAGGAGGGGGAAGGCATCTGAAGATTATCACGCTCACGGCCTGGGGAAGATTCCAGGGCTGGGTCCGGCCCTTCGCTGTGGGCTCTGCAGGGATGCCTGGTCCAAGGGTTCTCTCTGCCTTTTTGAGAGTGGTAGCAGCTCGGGTTTGGGTGTCCCTTCACCTCTCAGCCTTTTATTTCCTACCTGGGGTGATAGTTTTTCTTTTTCCCTTGGGATGGTGACCTTGTCATTGGCTACAGGGAAAACAAATTCCAAGTGAGCCCTCGTCTACCCCATGACACTGAGTATAAAATAACATTCCTCTTTTTTAGGATAATGTGGCTTACTTCTCCTACCCGTTCACGTTTGAGGCCTCCTTCCTCCACGAGGATGAATCTGCCGGTGAGTGGCCCGGCAGGTGCTCGGCCTTGGGGCCCCTCAGACAGGCCCTCTCCTGGTGAAGGCCTCCCATGACCTGGCCGCTTCTCCCCCTTGCTGCAGGTGCTCTCCCGGCATGGCCTGTGCTCTACTGCGAGGTCCTTTCGCTGGACTTCTGGCAGAGGTATCGCGTGGAAGGCTACGGGGCTGTGGTGCTGCCTGCCACCCCAGGTGACCGCTCATCCCTGCCCTTCATGTGGCCCATGTGCCCTAGCTCCTAGAAATAAGGCTAACACTTCAGAAGATTCGACCACTTCCTGTGAGGAGTAGGGATGACTGGGAATTAGAAGCACTTAACTTGCAAGATTTCCTTGCTCCTCTTGAGGAAATTTTCCCCCTCTGTTAGAGACAACTGGGTGAAATGACAGCTAACTGGGAAGCTGAGCAGCTCTGGGCTCTGCCTCCGGCTCCTCTGATCTGACTCGTGGCCTCGAGGGAGCAGCCGCGTGGCAAGATGGGCTCTCGGCGGACATGTATTGAGTGGGTCAGCTCCTTTTGAAATAATAGCTGCTGTCTTCTGTTGTGCGCCAGGCAGTGTGCTAAGTGCTTCTCATTTAATTCTCCCCACCACTCTGTGAGGCATAGGTGTTGTTATTAGGTGAGGAGAATGGGGTTCAGAGAGGTTGAGAAACTTGTCCTGGTGCCCGGGTAATAACTGGCAGAGCTGAGATCTGAATTTCCATCTGATTGATTTTCAAGTGGGTACCCTAAACCACTCTGATGACCTTCACCAGAGGTCAGGCCATTACCAGACCAGGTGTTTTGGTGGTGGCGAGGCCCGTGTCATTGCCGGGAAGGCAGCAAGGGAGCACGTGCCATTTCCGGCCCCGTTCTCCGCTTCCTGCACAGGCTCGCACACCCTGACGGTCCCTACGTGGAGGCCGCTGGAGCTGGGCCCGGTGGCCGAGCTCAGGAGGTTTTTCATTGGCGGCTCTCTGGAGCTGGAGGACCTCTCCTACGTGCGGATACCAGGAACCTTCAAGGTGACTTTTGTCTTTGGGGAGACTTCATGCTGGGAACTTATGTCCCTATCTCTTCTGGAGTAAGGTGGAATCTGGGTTAAGGACTCTTAATTGTTCATTGCTTCATTATTGCTTAGTCCCTTCCCTCCTGTCTCGGCCACATCTTGCACCAGGTACAAAGATCACTGCTATCCTAGGAGAGCTCTGGAAAATAGTACACTTAGAGGTTTCCCCTGGTCCCTGTCGGAATAACTGGCCCCTCCTTCCAGCCCATCCCTGAGTCCTCAGGAATCAGAGGATTGGCAGGCAGCTTATAAGACTGCTGATTCTCGAACGAGGTCGGAATGTTCCTTGATTTACAGTTGGGAGGTGGTGGAATCTGGGTGTTGGGATGAAGTTTCCCCAACAGAACTGTTCTCCCCAAGAAGGGGAATAAGAATGGGAGTGAGGCCACTGTGGTGCCTGGGGTCTAGGAACCAACAGAAACCTGACGTTAACCGGGTGCCGCAGGGTGAGCGTCTGAGCCGCTTTGGACTCCGCACAGAGACCACAGGCAGTGTCACCTTCCGCCTGCACTGTCTGCAGCAGTCCAGGTGAGTGGCCATCGCCCTTCGCCTTGGGGCTTCTGACCCTGAGGGCTGCAAGAGCAGCCATGGCCACGTGGCGGGCTCCCCTGCAGGGCCTTCATGGAGTCAAGTTCTCTCCGGAAGAGGATGAGGAGCGTGTTGGACCGTCTGGAGGGATTCAGCCAGCAAAGTTCCATTCACAATGTGCTAGGTAGGCTTCCCCCCACCCAATTCCAGCTACACCCCCCTCCAGCATCCCCGTGGGCCCCATTTCCCCCACACCATGGCAGCTGACTCCTGTGTCTGCTTCCCTCACAGAAGCCTTCCGTCGAGCCCGGCGCCGCATGCAGGAGGCCCGAGAAAGCCTTCCCCAGGACCTCGTGAGCCCCTCGGGAACCATGGTCTCCTAGCTCACTGCAGTCCTGGCCCACCGTGCACGAGGACAAGACGGGTGATATCCAAGGCCTGGGCCCTCTTCGTCTTTCTGATTAGAGACCCCGCTGACCTGCTGAGAACCGGAAGAGCTGAGAATCCTGGGCTGGACCCCTGCCTGGTCTTCAGCTGCTGGGTGGCAACAAAGCCAAACACCCTGTGGCCCCCATATGGTCCCTGTCTTCATATGTCAGCCACTGCAAGTGACCATCGCAACAAGACAGGCTTTTTGGTTTGAGACCAGTTTTGGGGGGAAGCCCAAAGTTAGTTCTGTCCTTGACACAGCCTCCTTTCCGGCCTGTCTCATGGTCTCAGTGGCAGAGGGCAGCAGTACCACCTGCTCCACACCTGCTTTACACATGGAGGCCCGAGAAAGAAGGCGAGAGAGATCTTACACTCCTGGCCTGGGAACCCAGCCTCCTCTTCCCAGGGTAGCCTCCCCTTCCTGCTGGGGGCTTGTTTCTATAGTAAATGAAGGCTGAAGGCAATGCCCAGTCCTTTCTGCTAGCTAGCTGTCATCTTTTATTGTGCTTTTTGTACATAAAAACTTTTTATACTGACTGACGTTCTGTTGGCTGGTTTTCTGCTTGGGTCGCTTTCACGGCCAAGCTATTCTCCTTAATGTCGGGGCCCCTAACGCTGCTGCCCTTCCCTGCCTTTTCCTACTCCACAGTGTTTCTTTTGATGCTCTAAACTCAGCCTCCAGGGGAGGCTTTAAGGTTAGTGCCAGCTGTGTCTTAGCAGCACTCCTCTTAAACATCTGGAGCAAATCATGGGACTGAGGTCCAGCCCGCGCCCCCCCTGAGCCCAATGCAGAAACCAGCTTCTGCCCTCAGGGGTGCTTTATTGGTAGAAGCAGAGGGTGCTGTGCAGCCTGCAGGCTCCAGAGAAAGACCATGGGGTGGCTGGAGGCTGGGACTCTGTGGCCTCCCAGTCATAGGCAGGGGTCAGGGACAGGGTGGGAAATAGATGAAAGTGGCTGGAGATGAAGATGACTCCTCTTGCCTGGGCCTCAGGACCCCCTTGCTTGGCTCACGAGCCCTTGCACCTGGAGCTGACATGTGACCTATTACATAAGAGGCTCGCATTGCAGGAGGGTTCATTGCTGCTGGGAACCCTGGCCGTCACTCCCAGCCAGAGAACCAGCTCTGAGCTATAGCCAGCAAAAGCATCATCAGGAAGCAGTTGCTCCAGGGGAGGAGGTAGCCTTGTGGTCTTCCCCAGGTTTCCTTGTCTCCAAGGTCTCCAAGGTCGGAGGCTTGGGATGGACTCCTGCGGAAGCAGCACAAGTGGCCAAGTGAGGAGCTTGCTGGATGTCCGGAGATTGAGCTGTTCTTAGGGTGTTGGTGACCAAGCTGAGGCTACTTGGATACTTCCTAATTGCGCCTCAAAGTCCTGGGCCCTGGGGTTACCTATCAACCCAGAGGCTAGCACACTGGGAAGCCACTGTGCAAGCGTGATCTGTTGCTAGAGACAAGTTCTGTTGTTTCTGCTTAGGGGCCTGAGAGGACTCAGCTGTCCTGTCCAGGGAAGGATGTGAGGGCCTGACCCAGCCCAGGGCTGTTGGAGGAGGTCCCCCTTACCTGCAGAAGCCTCATCTGCCTCTCCAAGCTGACAGATTCAGGCTGGGGATGCGGGTGCAGGGCACAAAGCCCCGGGGGTCGGTGTTGGCCCTGAAGATGTCCCTCGGAACGGTGGTGATACCAGTGTTGTCACACACAATTCGAGACAAGGAAATGTGCCTCAGGGCCCTGCGCTGTCTCTTGGTGAAAACACCCCGTTTCTGCCACCAGAACCTACCAAGACAGCGGAGAGATGTGGGTGAAGTTTGGCAGGGATGAACAGGAATGAGGACCTGCTGTGTGTGAGGTACTTTACATACATTATTTCATTCAATTCTCCAAAATCCCTGCAAAATAGGTATGATCCCCATTTTATAAAGGAAGAAACAAGTTCAGCAGTCTAGTAAATTGCCCAGTATTAATTGCACAGTAATTTAAGTAGCCAGGACTGGACTTGAACCCAGGTAAATGCCAAATCCAAATAAGAAGTCAAGTCTTAAACCACAAGCTTATTGGAGGGAAACCAGATTTAGCTTTTGTGCCCATGTTTTCTGGGATCCTTAAGCCTGGAACAGTGAGGCTGAGAAGTCTCTCTCCTGAGTTAAAGGTGCCTCCAACTCAGGCAAGTGCTCTCTCTGCCTCTTACCAAGCTCTCCAGGGAGGAGCTCCTGGTCTCAGATCCTGTGTACTTGGAAGAGATGAAGCTAAAAAGAGTACTTTCTCTCATTGCTGAGTCTTGAAATTCTAGTGCTTTTCTGCCCTGCCTCTGGGGCTGGTCCCTTTAGGGTAGGGGCACTTACCTGTCTCCACTTCGGGCTCTTCTGAACTGTTTCTCAAAAAGACAAGCCAGGAGAGGCCCCACTCGGGCCCCTGGCAAAAGAGGCTCTGCGATGGCCCCGATCCAGATGTCAATGTTGTCAGGTGTTCCATAGAGATCCAGGAACTTCCTTGCCAAACCCTGGTTTTTCAGAACCTGGCTGAGCTGTGCCAGATTCCGGGGCTGGGAGAGCCGGCAGAAGCGCCTCCAAGCATTGTACCCTGTAGGGAGAGAGGACAGGAGCAGTTCGGTCTTACCCCTGCGGATTCCCATTAGCTTCTGCTCGCCGCGATTTCTCCCGGGGGAGCTCTGTGGTCAGGCAATATTGGGCAGAAGAAAACCCCTGCTGGCAGAAGAGGCCTTGAACCTTCCAAAGACCAAACCACTGCCCTCTTAATTTGCAGTGCGAGCAGACAACCATGCTTTGCGCACACGCTGAGGAGTGTGTCCTAATGTAAGAAGCTGTCGTAACCCAACACTCACAATCACAATGATACTATCGTGGCATTAATCAGGCACAAGTAAGACATTATCTAGAACAGGAAAGACTCTCAGATTTGTAGAATGCCCGAATGAATAAATGAGTGAGTGAACCAAGAAATGAAGAACATGGATAAAATTTATCTACTCAGGAGAGGACCACATGCTATATGATTCCATTTATATGAAAGGTCTAGAATAGGCAAATATGTAGAGATAGAAGATTGGTAATGGTCAAGGGCTGGAGTGGGGGTGGGGAGTGACTATATTACTAGGTTTCTTTTGTGAGTAATGAAAATGTTCTGATATTAGATATGATGCACAACTCTAAATATACTAAAATCATTGAATTATATGCTTTACATTGGTAAATTTTGTGATATGTTAATTATATCTCAATATAATTTAAAATTAAAAATTTTAACTAAAATTAAAATTTTTTTTTCACCTACTCAGAAACTAACAAAGACCATACTGATTTCTCAGCCATCAGGATCCCACACCATGACAAGTCACATGATATGATGGGGACCATTAAGATAGGAGGAAGATAGCTTTGCCGTGACTCAAAGAAACACCAGCCCAACTACAACTCCCAAACCCCAGCCCCCAAGCTGAACAAAGGAAAACCACATAAGGTTTCACCACTACCGAGCACTGCTGTGCGGCTATCTCTCAGGATCCTCACATTTTTGTGAGGTACTTTGTAATCCCAGTGTTATCAATGGATATTCGCTGAGCTTGAGCAACTGTGACTTTTCCAAGGTCACCCCACCATTAAGTGGAGTTCAGACCAGGCCTTCCAATTCCAAATTTGGGAAGGGATTGGAGGAGACTGCAAGAGCTGCGATCAGTACACTATTTGTGGGACAGTTTAGAGGGTACAGAAACCGTGTGGCAGCTTGGGCAGCTAGCAATATCAGACCTCCAGCAGGGGGCGCCCACAACACTAGCTGTCAGGAGCACCCAAGCGTAGGGAAGGAAAGAAACTCAGGTTCTTGAGCGCCTGCTGTGTGCTAGCCAGGGGCTGTGTTCGGTGCAGTAGAAACTGCCCACCCTTTATTATTCACGGCCAAAAATTAGCAGAGGCAGATGGGGCTTTGGGTTGTGTTTAGACAGGGAAGTAGGAGATGGGGAGAGGGAGAGATGAGTGAGGCTGTGGCCAAAGCCTTCCCCTAACATCGTGGATTGAACAGGGGGATGGAAGGAGAAATTTTGAAACTGATTCGAATTTTACTACTTCCTAGTTACGTGGGCTTGGGCCAATTACTAGATGTCTCTGAGTTTATTTTCTCATTTATAAAAATGTCTGTCACAGCTGCTTTTCAAGGTCATTGGGAGGACTAAAAGAGTTAATATCCATTAAAGATCCTAGCAAAGTGCCTAATTTTTCTTATTTCCTGAGATGAAGTCTTTCTGTGGCCTCACCAAACAACCAAGGCCGTTACTTTTACTCCACCTGTTCCCTGCCTCTCAGGCTCTTTGCCCAATTAGAGCCAAGAGCCAGTTTCTATATCCCTGGAACTGCCTCCCTGGATCTTGCCAGGGTGGTGGGGCATGGAGCAGCTCTTCCCTGCCTTTTTTTTTTTTTTTGCGGTACGCAGGCCTCTCACTGTTGTGGCCTCTCCCGTTGCGGAGCACAGGCTCCAGACGCGCAGGCTCAGCGGCCATGGCTCACGGGCCCAGCCGCTCCGCGGCACGTGGGATCTTCCCGGACCGGGGCACGAACCCGTGTCCCCTGCATTGGCAGGCGGACTCTCAACCACTGCGCCACCAGGGAAGCCCTTCCCTGCTTTTTAAAGCCACTGTTTTTCTCTACGTGGAAAGTCCTGATCTCCTTTGTTCAGCTCCTGCGTCCAAGTCCTGGTCCTGTTGTGACCCTAAAGCTAGAGACCCTATGGAGGATGGAGGAGATGTGGCAGGACAGCAACAAGGAGGCCTCAGGGATGCTTTGTGGCATCAGCCTCAGCGCATCCTGTAGACAGTCCCAGTCAGAAAGGAGGCGCCAAGGGTCTTCTCTGAACCCTCCCCCCAACCAACCATCACCAGCAACCCTGCTCTGGGGAAGCCTGGGAAGGGGCGGGCAGCCCCCTCACCTGGGACGCCATGGTCCCGGCTGCGTTGCATGTTGAGAGCTGCCAGGTCCAGCCCGATCCTTCTCACTTGCTGAAACAGCCGGTCTCGGAGCTCATCCACTAACATGGAATTTTGACAGTTCAGCTTGGCAGGGGTGGCCATGAGGCCTCGGAGGATGGGGTCGATGCCACCTGGTGGCGGGGAATATGAGCAACACAGATTAGACCAGCCTTTTGGAAGCCCCGAGGGTCGTCACATGATGCCAAGCTAGCTCAGAGCTGGACAAGCCAGTCACTTACATTCTATAATGTTTGTATCCAGAAACGGTGGCCTGGGTGGACGTGAAGGGAGCTGGAGCCGGCAAGAAAAGCAATCACCCCCACTTCTCCGAGAAGGCAAGCTCCTTTCAGGACCACAACCACCAGTCTCCTCCCCTTTTAGAAATCCTCTAATCCCGGAGGGGACGGGAGGCCCGTGACTGAGGGTCTTGGTGGCGCCTGTCTTGTTTTCACTCACTTGGGGAGATGCTTAGCAGTAGCCTGGCCTCCGACACTAAGCTGGGCCCCACCCCCTCGCCCTGTCTGCCTCTGGAAAACCTGGTCACCTTCGTGCACGATTCGCCAGCTGGCGAAGAAGGTGGAGCTGAGTGGGACCCGCGAGTTGGGTGCTGAGGCCTGGTACTGGCTGTCCAGGCGGAACATGAAGGGCTGGATCATGGTGTGGCCGAAGCGGAAGGCCAGCGTGAAGACGTTGGCCACGCGGGGGTCTACATTGCGGCGGTACCCCCGGTAGGACCCCAGGGTTTTCCTGGCCCTGGCCTTGCCCAGAACCAAGGGCAGAAAGTCCCGGTAGGTGATGATCTGGAAGAAAAGATGGAGGAGGAACGTTACCTCAGTGGCCACCCACCCCACTCCCCTGCCTTTGGACAGACCTTTTGCTTTTCGAAGCGCTGCTCAGACATATTGATTCTTTATTGGCAGTATGTCAAATGTGGCGATGTTAATCTCCCATTGTCTGATGGAGATACTGAGGCCCAGAGAGGCTGGGTGACATGAACGGGGCCACAGAGAGAGCTAGCGGCAGTATTGGGGATACAGGTCAGATCTCAGGAACCTCTCAACCACCCAGACCTAGCTGACTTGAGGCACATCCCCCAGGATGGCTTCTCACGCCAGATTGCCTTCCAAGGGATGCTGAGACCCAGGGCCCCCTACCTGGACCATGGCCCCCACGATCTTCCGAGCCTCCTGGTACAGCTTGTCACTGGTCCACCGAGGATTCAGGTTTCTCAGCTCAGTTGCCAGCCGGTTGTGCTCTCGCATAAAGAGGGTGTGCATGGCTGCCAGTTTCGGGGTTTCAGTTGACCGGCTGTCACCTTGAAAACCCCAAGTTCAGAGTCACCATAGTCCTTCCCAGAGCAATGTCTTTCTGCTAAGGCAGACAGAGCTCTGGGGACTAGAAAGAGGTGGTGGGATTTTGTGACCTGGGCCAAACTCCTGGCCCTCACTGGACCTCCATCTCCTCAGCTGTGCTGTGAGGCTCCACTGACAAACACAATGGGCCAGGAGTGGGAGGACAGTGGAGTCTCGGGTCCCTAAGTTACGGGAATGAGTTTGCGCGAGGTGGCACAGGGCAGCTGCTGGTCTTGGGCAGGAACCCTTTTGCCTAATGATTCTGCTCTGCAGGATTACCAGATCCACAGCTGGTGGAGGGTCCTGGGTGACTCTAGGAACCTGTCCTGTGGGTTGTATCCTTCTGCACGTTCTCTCCCGGGGGCTGGACCTCTCCCCAGCTTGGGCTTGGTGTCATGCTGCTCTCCCCAGGGAGCCCCATGGAAGGAGGAAGAAGGAAGGTTGGGCAGAGCCTGTTCCCGTAGCCAGACCTTCTCCTAGAGGCCGGGAAGGAAAGTACGTTCCTAAAGGTTGGCCTTACACACAGTCATTTGCTGGCTTTAAACTAAGCCCTTGTAATGTGGTCTTATTCAATCTACTCTTAAGTAAACCTCTGGTGAAGGCGCATGCCGCTCTTGCCAGGAGCAAAGAAACATACAGTCCTTAGAAAAGGGGCTGGAGCTGACTCCCTGCAAAGGAGGTGGTGGAGCAGAGTGGAAAGAGCCCAGACCTGGCCACTACACTGACTTGAGTCCTCACTGTGGACTCTGCCATCTGACACTCTGCTCTGGAGCACGTTAGTTATCTTCCCTGATGAGTGTCTCATCTGCAAAACGAGGGTGCTCATAGTGCTCTCCTTTCAGGGCTGCTGTAAGGATTAGAGATGGCACATTTAAATATAGTAAGTAACCAGAAGCGATGACCATCATTATGATAACCAGCAAGGGGGGCAGGGGCAAAGACCCCCAGGAGAGTTCAGATTATGCCTCCAGAAGAAGGGACCAGGTGACAGTGTCTAGCAAGAGCAGGGGGGAAACTGAAGATTCTAAGGGAATTTAGCCCAGAGGAGAAAAAAAAGGTAGGCGAAAGTGAAAGCTACTTTCAGGTTATTAAAGAGGCTATTACTGTGTGAAAGATAGAGCTTTTTCTCCGAGGTTCTAGAAGCATGATGAAGAGCAACAGATGGGCATTGGATCAAAATGGGGGGGGGGAGGGGCTGTCTGCAGTCAGCACCACACCAGATGAACAGCAGAGGGGGTGAGCCCCTTATCACCGAAGAGAGTCAAGTGGCGATCTCCGGCCACACACCGGGTTCACAAAGGGACTCCTTCCAACTTACTGATTCTGGGATGACTATGCACAGATCTGTGTGCCTAATATTGAGGTCTGAAGCCATGCACCCCCATCGAGTCCCACGAGGCTTTCCCAACCCGGAGCCCAGGGACTGGCTGTTTCGTCCTTCCGTCCCCCCAGTCTGACCTGCCAGGAAGCAGGGGATGTTCGCGGTGCGGTTGGTGAGCAGGCATGGGTCTTCGTGCAGGTTGTCAAAGGGCAGCAGGGCCCGGCCGTTGTCATGGAAGAAGGTGTTGACGGCCAGCAGCCCCAGCTGGTTGGTCAGGTTGCGCAGCCTCATGGCCAAGGGGTCCTCGCTGCCGTACACCATGCTGGCGTCCAGGAAGGAGGTGAGCGCGTTGATCTGGTTGCGGACTTCATTCTTGTTTTGGGGGCACGAGGGTGCCGAGCGGAAGAAGGGGATGCAGTCACGCTGGTTCATGATGCGGGGGTCATTGGGTGGGATCTGAGGTGGAAGAGGAGCCAGTGACACTGGGGCCCCTCCCGAGCAAGCTCACTCCTCCTGGTCATCCCCCACCTGCTTCAAAACCTTGCTCAAAACTCCCTTTTTCCAGGAAGCCCTCCTTGACTCATCCAGACTCACGCTGCTCACCAGGTCATCCGAGCACCCTTAGCATGTTGTGTCATAGAGGCATGAAAGGTTAGAAATGGACGAGGCCTGGGGCTTCCCTGGTGGCGCAGTGGTTGAGAGTCTGTCTGCCGATGCAGGGGACACGGGTTCGTGCCCCGATCCGGGAGGATCCCACATGCCGCGGAGCAGCTGGGCCCGTGAGCCATGGCCGCTGAGCCTGCGCGTCCGGAGCCTGTTCTCCACAACGGGAGAGGCCACAGCAGTGAGAGGCCCGGGTACCACAAAAAAAAAAAAAAAAAAAAAAAAAAGGACGAGGCCTTAGATCCTCATTTTATAAGTGGGGAAACTGAGGCTCAGAGAGGGGAAGTGACAACTCGTTAGCGGGAGAGGAGGGATTAGAACCTAGTTCTCCTGACATGAGGCTTGTGCTCCTTTCATTCCATTCAATTCAACAGACATTTCCTAAGCCCCTTTCTGTGCCGGGTGCCTCGGAGACGGTGAAGGTCGAGGAAACCCAGGACAGGTTGCAGGAAGCTGGCAATTCCGTGAAAACAGACCTGCACATCGAGTAATGTAACTCTAAATTGAGGTGGCATTTGCTATGCTTGGCTTAAAAGTCAAGAGCTAGGGAGACCTTCAAGATGGTGGAGGAGTAAGACATGGAGATCACCTTCCCACAAATACATCAGAAATACATCTACGCGTGGAACAACTCCTATAGAACACCTACTGAACGCTAGCAGAAGACCTCAGACCTCCCAAAAGGCAAGAAACTCCCCACGTACCTGGGTAGGGCAAAAGAAAAAAGAAAAAACAGACAAAAGAATAGGGATGGGGCCCGCACCAGTGGGAGGGAGCCGTGAAGGAGGAAAGGTTTCCACACACTAGGAAGCCCCTTTGAGGGCGGAGACTGCGGGTGGCGGAGGGGGGAAGCTTCGGAGCCACGGAGGAGAGCGCAGCAACAGGGGTGCGGGGGGCAAAGCGGAGAGAT